TTTTCGTACATTTTGCGTAAGAAACAGAGAACCGGTCCAGAAGCTCTACCTAGAAATTTGCTTGAGTTTTGGGAGAACCAGGTCTTTTAAAATGATATTAACGAAGTGATTTTCTTTTCAATTTCGATGGCCGGCCTCATTAAGCTGGCTCTTCTTTCTTGCGAACGATGAGCGAAGTAATCGATAAGGGACATCACATTTTATGGTGAACGTCTTGTCTCTCACCCTAAAAGAATTGAAGCTCTCGTTCTTTTTTTTTTGAGCTACTATGATAATGAACCTTCTTGTTGGTGTGGCTTGAATGTTTTTTGTTTATTCATTTAAACAGAAACAACTGATACATTATCAAATTTTAATAAATAAACTGTTTGTTTATATTATTATATATACACTTTTTATAAATTTCTTTAAAATGTTTAAATTTTCCTGTGATTTTGGTAATTTGTAACCTATTTTTCTTGATTTGTAAGCTATTTTCCATTATAAATATGTTGGTTAAATAAAAAAAAAACAAGTAAGGATGGATTCAACCAAAACCAAATGCACAAGTTGTATAACTTGTAGAGATCTTAGAATCAAATGTGTAAAAGTTAAAAAAAATAAACGTTGTAAATGGTGCATTAAAAAAAATTTGGATTGTTTGTTTTTCAAACTCCAACATGTGAAAAATGAGATAATAAGATTGACAAAGATAATAAAACAATATAAAGAACGCATTCTTGAGTTAGAAAAAAAAAACTTTCAATTAGAAAAAAATAAAAAGTTAATCAAAGAAATACTATACAACTATTCTGATAAACAGACAGAATTGGAAAAGATTTGCAAGAAAAAGTTATAAAAACAGGACGAAAAACCTTAGTAAATACTAAAACAAAACAAAATGCCACCTGTATTTTTAAAAATAAACAACAAGCAAGAAAAAAGTTGCATACAGCTAGTCAAGAAACTGTTTAACACATATCTAAAAAGAAACAATGTTGCGTATCAACTAAGTCACCGATTGTTAACGGTTTTAAAAAAAGAAACGAGAGAATTTCTTGATAATTTTGATCTGGAAGAGATTAAACAATGCTATCAAGTGGAGAATTATATTTTTATAAACTGTGCATGTTGTTCTAAATTATTTATCGAGAATATTAACGATCCTAGCATAATTGAAAAATTATGCATTCAATATTCTTGGTTGTTTGAATAAAAAAAATAATAGATATTTATTGTATACAATGTTAAAAAAAATATTCTATTTTTTTAAAAATCATCTAGTTTTACATGTTTTTCTTTTTCTCTATCTTCTATTTCTGTATCATCTAATTTACATTTACTTGATTCTATCTGTGGGTCTAAAACTATCAATTCTGTATTATTTTTAATAAAATTAATAGGTTTTTTATCAACCCAATGAAATTTGTTACGTAAATTTTTGTGTAGTAACTCTATGTTGTCTGGGACCATAATATTATAAGGAAGTTCACTATTCCAATACCGATTGTAAACAGTAAAACTTTGATTGTCAACATCTATATTTCCAATCACACCACCCAATACTACATTCATATCTATCTCCCGTTTCATGAAAACATCACCATCATATTCATACAAATTCTCAAAATCATCATCATAAACGTATTTCTTTGCTTCTTCAATATTAACATCCTCCACAAACTTAATATGAAATCTACTATTGATAAAATCTAACATGTCACCTGGTTGATCAGATTCTAACTATGCAAAACCATAATTAACTTTTCTATCTACATATCGTCCCAACATCTTGATCATATATCCGTGAGTATATACTAAAGATTTTGAAAATCTCCTATATAAAGCTATTCTTGACTCCTTACTTTTAACATAAACTCTATTATCAAAAAAACATTTTCTAAAGCTAAATATATCATCAAACAAATCTTGGGCTGTAAAAATATTATACTTTGATACAACCTCTATAGGTTTTTTGTTTCGTTGTTTGATGATACATTCGTCTTTTTCACAAAGATTCAACAGATCTTGAAACTTCCAAGTGTCATGAGATAATTCTTGCTTACAAATGACTTCTTAATTATTATACTCATCAAAATACACTGGATCATTGGCCTTCTTGCAAATATCTCTTCCTTTTACCAATGCCTTGCTTATTTTTTGAATTAATGATGTTTTTCCAGATCCGGAATCACTATAAAATAAAAAATTCTTAGGATAGAACATTTTTTCTGGTATATATTTTTTTCTGCTTTCTAACTCTTTTCTTTCTTTTGTTATCTGTTTTACCTTTTGATATGAGTCATAAAATGTTGTTGGATGTAATTCTGAATGCAACAATAAATAATCAGAATCAAGTTTATCATCACGTATTTTTTCTTTCTTGTATTCATTGTCTAATCTTATCATATTAAGCTTGTCGACTGTATCATCCGATGCACCTTCTAAAAATCTAAATTTCCCAAAGATAAATGGTCCTGCACCCTCCTCTTCTAACTGTTTTTTCTTTCTTTTTTCAATGCAAGATCTCTTGCAAAGAGTACATTTACTAATATCTTCCTTAACAGAAAGACTACACTTGCAATATTTTCCTTCTCTTGGTTTGTGGTAAATAGCACAACGACCCCAAATTTTTAACACGTAATCCTCATTATCTTTTGATGTTCCTTTACATAAAACTCCAGGTGGAAAAGAAATCCTCTGACAATCAACCAACTGCTTTACAAACTTCATAGTCACTTTTCTTGCAAATGTCAAAACACAATGTGTGTGAAGTTTTCCTTGACTTGTCTTTTCAAATTTTGCTACAGATCTTATCATACCAGCTGCTTCTAACATGTTAAACTCTTCTTGAGTTCTTGAAAAAGACCATTGACATTTGATTCCACATTTTTCACAGTTAGAACATTTGATTCTATTGCATGTATTTAACATGCAACATTGTCTGCATTTCTCATTCTTACAACGATTGTGATACAATTTACATAATTTACACTTTGGAAGAACACCGGTCTCTTTGAAATCTTTTTCTTTTTTTTTTTCTTTCTTCGTTAGATACTTGATCCTTCTTCTTACACTGATATTTTTTTAAACATTCAATACAATAAAATGATGTTGTTAAAGTAAAAGTAAATCTTATTCCACTCATATTTGTTTTTAGTTTAATATTTATTTTTAATTTAAATTTGTTGTGAAAATTACACAGTTAATTCCTTGAATGGTTCAAAATCTGAACTATTCAAGGATATTATTCTTTATTAAAATAAAATTATTTAATGTTTGTTATGTACAAATTATCTTTAACCAATAAATTAATATTGTACTTTTTAAAATCACTCTTATTAACTTTTTCAATTTTTGCTGTATAGTATACATCAATTAAATCAATATCAAAGAGAGTTTCAACTCTTGTGTCAAATTGTCTGTTAAAAAGAAGATATATATTAATTTTTTTTTCTTCTTGATACAAAAGATATGAGCGAATTATTATATTTCTATCCAAACAAATAAATCTTAAATGTTGTAATAAATCTTGTAATTCCAGCTCATGTTATATGAATTGCTTGATGAGAGATACGATATTTTGACATTTTCATGAATGAGAGACCTTTAAAAAAATTATGGCTAATCAGTCTATTTATAGTTTTAAAATTAATAATTCATATGAATAAAAAATGAAAAAATATGACAATTTTACCAGTTTATTCCCAAAATTCATCTGAGAAAACTTGAATCTGTTCTTGATAAATTTGATAATGCGCAGTCATATGTTTAGAATCAACTTAAAAAAAACCTACAATGATACCATCATTTTTTCGTCATTTTCATCAAAATGCAAAAACGTCAATTGAAAGACAAACATAAACTTGAATATCTCCACGAGTTTTTATCCAAATGAGCTGAAATTTCACATACTAATTCTCGAATATCACCTCTACCAACGATATTAATGAAGGTTTATATGTTTCATTTGACCGTCACATCCAAATCGATCGATACGTTTCTGAAAATAACAAAGAAAAATTCGTCATTAGTTCTTGTCACTAAAACATTAATAACTCTATGAATACTCTGTCAATCTTGATAAAAATTTAGATTATAATTCTTGAAAACCTTACAAATAACTTTGATTAGAAACGTAAATGCTGTTTTGTTTGAACAAAGTGGTCTTCTGATCGATTGAAATCCGTCGGCAATTTTGCGAAAACGTATGAGCGAAACAAAGACAAAAATGTGAATATCTCTGCGAATATCTGATGAAAAAGGCTAAAAATTGAGATTCGGATAGTCCGATATCCCATCTACAAGTTTACTTAGAAGCGTGAGATAGTTTTCTTGTGAGAAAGTTGTCAAATTATTCGTTGAAGTTTTGGTTAGTGTGTCGGAAAAACTAAAAAAGATGCGTTGTAAATCGTTTTTTAACACGTAAATATATGTTTTTTTATGTCGATCGTTTTTGGGCAAAAAAATGTACCAGTAGATCAAAAAATGTAAATCATATAATAAATTATAGGTAAAAAAATGTACACTAATAAATTTGCAGATCCTCACTATTAAAATCAATTAGTAAAATGGTCAAAAAAATGTACCCATATATTCGAGTTGGGTATGTAGATCTTTTTCAAAATTCTGGTATGTTTTTTTATTAGTAAATTAGTGTTAAGATTTTGAATCTTGCAAAAAAAAGCTAAGATTTTTGCAGTATTATTTAGCCAATGTAATAAAGCGCCAAACCTGAAATTCCCATGTACTGCCTCGATGATTGGTTTCGGCAGACGTGTCTATTTTGGTTTGACGCCAACTGTCAATGTGGCGTAGCAAATTTGTATGCTATACGCATTTTTACTACTGCATTGACGACGTAGAATTGCATGATCCCTATTTACACATTGACTCATGTACATTATACCGTCATGTGACATAGGGCTAAGTTATTCTATTTACACTTATTTAGGAACCATCCTAAATAAGTTTGTCAATGATAAAGGAAATACTTAATAGAATGAAATGAGATAGCAAAAAAAGTTACAAGATATATTAAAGAGTATACAACAAGGAAAATCAAAATAACGAAAGAGTAGTATAGATAGCTACAAATCTTGCTCAAGGTAGCAAAAAAATACAATAACCAAAAGTTTAAACCAAAAAGACTAAAAGTTGTCTCTAGTAATTTTAGATATAGCTAGAGAAATAGTAGTAGCTTAAGATCATGTAGTAATACTAGAAAACCACCAAAAGAAATAGAGAATAGCAGACTAAACAAACAAGATTACTTAAAAAATATAGTTGCAACTGGCTTAAACAAAAAAGAATTAGGCAAAAGAAAAGAAAAACAAGTTAAAACAAAAACAGAAAAGGCAGAAGTCAAGAAAATCTTGATTAAGATAAAAAAATTTAG